CCTCCCTCCCTCCCTCCCTCCCTCCCTCCCTTCCTTCCTTCCTTCCTTTTGGTCTTGAATTAATGGCCTGGACAGTATCCTTCGGTTTTTTCACTTAGGGCTGTCTGTCTACCCCTTGAGCCACTTCTGGCTTTTTTTTTGGGGGGGGGAGGGTTAGTTGGAGAGAAGAGTCTCACAGACTTTCCTGCCTGAGCTGGTTTTGAACCACAACCCTCAAATCTCAGCCTCCTGAGCAGCTAGGAGGAGCTGTTAGTTGCCCAGCGTCTCACTCATGAGCCACGTGTACCAAGCTTTGCAGGTGTGAGCTGTTGGCACCTGGTTATGAGAGACTGTGATGGAAAGATATTGTCTGGAGGGTCGGCAGGGGTGCCCAAGGGGTAAGCAGGTCAAGCCTGGCAAAACCAGGAGATCCTATCTGAAAAATAAAGTACATATAGCTGGGGTCCTGGCCCAAACGATAGCAAGCACAAGGCCCTGAGTTCATACTTCAGTGCCACAAAACAGCAGAAAACTTCATTGAAAAAGAATTGGATCACTTTGAACTTACTCGTTGGTTTAGGAAGCGCTGCCATCTTGAGATGGAACTTATTAACCAATACAGTGGATAGAGAATTTATATTCAGCTAGATCTAGATTTATGTCTTTTGAGAGTGTTTTATAATTTTCTCTATATAGATTCTGAATATTGAAGCTTATTTTTAACTATTTTGTTATGATAAATGAGATTTTTCTCATTATCTCTTTTAATTGGTTTTTATTTGTGTGATGTGAATTTTATTGTTGTTCATGCTAATTTTATATTATGCTTCTTTGTTGAATTTTTTAATTGTAGTTTGCAACTACAATTTTATTCTTAGTGTTATGCCTCTATTTTATTTTTCAATGTGGGGCTTGAAGTCAGAGCCTGGGCCCTGTCCCTGAGATTTTATTTGCTCAAGGTTCACACTCTACTGCTTTAAGCCATAGCTCCATTTCCTGTCTTCTGCTGGTGAATTACACATAAGAGTCTCAAGGACTTTCCTGCTTAAGCTGGCTTTGAAGCATGATCCTCAGATCTCAGCCTCCTGAGTAGCAAGGAATACGGGCGTGAGCCACCAGAGCTCTGCTTATTGTTGAGTTTTGGTGTAGTTGTTTTCATTTTCAAGCACCAAATTACCTTTAGTGGGTCATGCTATTTTGTTATGAGAATTCTTGGCTTTGGTTCCTAAGCTATGGTGAAGCAATTGAATTATTCTTATTTCTATAATTAATGTTTTCAGTATCCTTATTACACAAATCTGGTACTATGATTTTAGAATACGTTTTAAGTTTTAAGTTTATGTTGCTGTGTTTTTCATTTCTTCCACATTTATGTTCTCCTGGACATCCTCAACCCCTGTTTAAAATTTCCTGGAGGTTTTAGTTCAAACTTTGTGAAGGTAGACATTATTCAAGACAAGTGTATTTGCAAAATCATATACAGTAAATTGACATGAAAATTGAAACCTGATATATAATCTATAGATGTTTCATTGATTTCAAAGGTCTAAATAAGCACCATAGTTAAAAGCATTACAGACTGCTTTTGTTTCTGTTTTTCCCCGGTGTCTAGAATTGCAGAATATGTGTAGAGTGTGGCACACGATCTAGTTCTCAGTGGCACCACAATTGCTTGGTCTGTGACACTTGTTACCAACAGCAGGATAACTTATGTCCTTTGTGTGGAAAGTGCTGCCATCCAGAATTGCAGAAAGACTTGCTCCATTGTAATATGTGCAGGAGGTAAGAAGAAAGTTATCCCATTTAGTTGTGTTGTTATTTGTTTGTTTGTTTTTTTTAGTTGGGCCATGTGGTCATTTGCTCTATCATGTATGTTTAAGCACTCTATGTTAAGCACTAATGTTTATCATTCTCGCAACCCCTTTCCTACTGAGTACTGTTAAAAATGGAATTACATTTTGTTCTTATGAGTCTGAAAGGCATAAACAAGTGAATGGGCAAAAGATAGAGAAGATTAATCTAGAAATGAGCAGTCAGAAGTAAAAGATGTGGAAGTCATATTTTTATGACACTCACAAATACCAACTCCTTTTTGAAAGCATTGGTTAGTTGCCAGCCTCTCGAACCAGTTCCTCTTTCCTCCCTAACCCTGCTCATAGCCATAGCCAGGTTTTAGCAGTGCCCTCCCTTTCTCTAGATACCTACCACCCTGACCTTAAATTAGAAGTTTTTATTTAAATGTACTTATCACTGCAGATGGGTTCACTTAGAATGTGACAAACAAACAGATCATGAGCTGGATTCTCAACTCAAAGAAGAGTATATCTGCTTGTATTGTAAACACTTAGGAGCTGAGGTGGATGCCTTACTGCCTGGTGATGAAGTAGAGATGGCCGAACTCAATGCAGGTAAATGTGTATGTTCATCCAAACAACCACCAAAAAATCATTGTACCACACCGTTGTTGCTGTATTATTTTAATCCATTGAGGGAATTCAGTATGTCAAATCCCACTTTATTCTTTAAGCTGCTGCTTCTTCTTCTTCTTCTTCTTCTTCTTCTTTTTCTCCTCCTCCTCCTCCTTCTTCCTTCTTCCTTCTTCTTCCTTCCTCCTCCTCCTCCCTCCTCCTTTTTTTTCCTTCTTCCTTGCTCCTCCTCCTCCTTCTTCCTTTCTCCTCCTCCTTCTTCCTTTCTCCTCCTCCTCCTTCTTCCTTCTTCTTCCTTTCTTCTTCTTCTTCC